TTTAATCAAATTTAGACTCAAACTTTAATAATTATGTACATTATATATAGAGCTTCTAAGAATTGCAATATTATTTTATTATAAAAAATTTTAAATTCTTAATAAATTTTCAATAAATACTAAAAAAACACATAACGAGTGTTTTGAAATCTTTAAATACTTAATAGGTCTTTTAAAATTTAAATTCGATTTTATTTTCAATAATAATCTTTTCACATGCATTTTCAACATTACATTTTACTATATATATTTGGTGCATTGGAGAAGTTAGTTGTTTAGCAACATAAGAGTTTGAGCCCTTAACATTATCCTCAAATTAAGGTTTTTAAGTTAGTGAGTATTAATTTGGCTAAGTTTCTATTAATACATCTTACCATATATATGAGATTAGTGTGTATTAATTTTGACTTTAAAAAAAATTAGAGTTTCAATTTATATTTAGAAACACAAATCCGAATTTAAAATCTAGAAATCCACTCAATTAAATGTTAATACATAAATTTAGAAATCGATTATATATCCTAATATAATTAGTTTACAAATCGAAATATTGATATTTAACAAGATAAATTTTTAAATTTTAAATTGAGTTTTAATTAAATAAAATAATGTAATTTAATGTTGGAACTCCAATTTATTTTAGGAGATTGATATACACTTTTTTCTATATATATAGAAATAGTGTATATCTGTTTTATCTTCTAAAAATTAAAAGAAAATTTGTTAAAATTTTTAATAAATTTCAAGTAAATATCTAATAGGCTTTTTAAAATCATCAATAAATCTTTAAAATATCTTCAATAAATTTTCAACAAATACAAAATAAATATCTAATAGACTTTTTAAAATTTTTAATAAATGCTAAATAAATATCTAATAAGCCTTTTATAATTTACAATAAATACTTAGACATCAAATTGAAAAATAATCAGTACACACTCGATTCAATATATTTTTTTAACACTTATTTGATTTAATTATTAAAAATATAATATAAGTATAGTTGATTTAGTAGATTTCTGTATCATATGTGAGATCATTCCAAGTAAGAGTTGTTTTAAGAAAATAAAGACAATTTAGGGAGGCTTTAAAAACATTTCCGCAAGAGTTCTGAAATATTAATTAATCCCACATTAGTACTTTGTGAGTTCTGAAATATTATAGATTTCTAATATTATTTTAATATGTATGGAAAAATTATCTGTTAATTCTTTTTAATTTGTTGTTGTTCAAAAAATAATTTTTTTAATTTATTAATTTTTTTAAATTTTAAACTTTTAGAATTAGCTTATTATATTTTTAATTTTTGAGAATTGATCTTGTAAATATTCTATTCTTACTTTAATCGAGAATTAATAATTTTTGTTAATTAAAAAGCTAAAACCTTCAAACTTTTAAGTTTAAAGATTAAAAACTTTATATAAGTAAGTTAAAAGTTTCAAATTTAATAAATTACGGGGCTAAATATATGGTTTAGCAGTAGAGAGAGTAGCAATAAGCATTTTGAGTGTGAATTCATTTGAAATAAAGGGTAAAATGGGAATCACAAGGTACTAATTTAGAATAATTTAGCGTTCCAGGACTTTCAGGAAAATATTTTTAAAACCTCCCCAGAGTGGTCTTTTATCGTTTCGAAATCAACTCTATTTAGAGTTATTCTTTGCAGTTTCAAGTTAGTTTATCTTAAATTTTAAATTAAAAAATAAAAATACTTTAATAAATATATTATATAATATATTAAATTAAAATATATAATATTGTACTATTAAATCTTAACAAATTCTAGGTTTACCATCCCAACATGAGAAACGACAATTCTTGAAATTTAGACGTGCAAACACCCGCGCAATCCTTTCTACTCCAATCCAAAACCCTGCAAAGATAAAATCTCAAAATAACTATCCAGTCACATGCAGTCTTTCCCTCTAAGAAAGCACTGTCCTATTCGTCAAGCTTAATCTCTCTGTCCAAAGGAATAACTACAAGCTTAAAGAAATTTAATTAAAGCTTTCAAATTCTTAAACAATTGGTCTGATGAATCCCAAAGATTACCATATGCGTGTGAACATAATTCTCTCTGCAAATCCTTGAACCAAAATGGAGCTTAAATCACCAATTCGAAAACCTTTTTACACATCAATCATCCAAATCAACACACATGCTGCTATACATGAGACAGCTCATACCCATTTGTAAATTCCATCAACTGCTACGCATAAATCCAAGGATTCGATAAAAATCTCTTAAAGACTCATGATTTTTCCTCCATAAGAAAAATCCAATTCTCAATACAAATACCAAATAAGATTTTTAAAAGGAAATAATTTTCATATGTTTTATGCATATTTGCATTTTTTAAATTTATTTGTCTTTAATTTCAAACTAAAAAATAATGAGTTTTTATTGAGTGTGTTGTGTAGTGTATTAAACTAGAGGGTATACTAATCAGTGTTATTTTAATTATATTTTCAATACTAATATTTTCTTTTAAGGGAATAATAGTTATTTACCTTATCTAGTAAAGATTATGAAGAAAATTATTTTAAAACTATATCATTTCAATAAACTTTCATTAAAAAAAACTAAAATACCTTATTTTTAAAGTATGAATTAGAGATTTTTTGTCTTTTCTTATAGTGCTTTATTGAAATGATATAGTTTTGAAATAATTTTTCTCATAATATTTAGGAGGTAAAGTGAATAAATACCAACCCCTTCTTTTAATGCAATTTTATTTTAATCTAACTTCTACTACTTTAATTATATGTTAATATGAACTCAATTATATTTTCAATAATAATCTTTCCATACACATTTCCAATATTATATTTTGGGAAACAATTAGGACACTCTTTGGTCCAACAAACTTTTCAACACATAATATAAACACAGTTGATTCAACTAGTTCCTACATACCAATGACATGTTGGTCCAAATAGAAGGAGTTCAGTTCCTTTTAAGTAAAGTCTTGAGTTTAAATCTTGTAAATGGAAAAACATGCGTTATGGAGCTTTCCCTTTATGGGGTCTGACATGGCTCAATTCCAGATTAGTCGAAACCCAATGTAACTTATGAAAACCAAGAGGTTAGTACCAAAAGAAAAAAAAAAAAAAAAAACCTTACATGTTGTATACATAGTTGCATCTTTAAGTTTGTTGCCTAATTTACACCTTTCTTTGGATCTTCATCAAATTATTAAATTAGCTCAATAACTTCATCTTGATCATAACCTAATTTTGCTAATAGCTTATATGGGCATTAGGGTCAAAATAGTAATTCACTTTGTAGGCAAATTTACTTGGGTAGAACCTTCAAATCCACTCTAAAAAAATATCGGTACGGACACATCTACCCTTAAAAAAAAAAAGCAGGGACAAATTGTCCCTCCAAATCATAAATCAATACAAATCACTCATTTTTCAACGTTTTCCGTTAAAAAATGTTGATGTGACAAACAGAATTTTGATGTTTTTTGCTGAAAAAGGAGTGATTTGTATTGATTTATGATTTAGAGTGGCAATTTGTCCTTGCTTTTTTTGAGGGGTGGATGTGTCCTTACCAATATTTTTTTAGGGTGGATTTGAGGGTTTTGCCAATTTACTTGCTTCATTGAAGAGTGTTGTTTCCGCTTCTTTGGTTATTCATTTGGAGACTTAGCAATCTTTGGTGCAACAAGGTTACTGACAAAGAAATTCAAACCTTTCAAATCCTTTATTAGCTTATTTTGCCCAAAAGTAAATGCACACTAACCTTCTTTCCCTCTTGACATAGGCACAAAGCAAAGAATAGGGTTTGATTGAAAAGCTTTGACTTCATTTTCTTTCTTCTCTTTGCCTTTAGCATTTTTTGTTGGTAAGGTTGCTTGATTTTCTTTTTGTGCCACCTTTTATGTTTCTTGCTTTAGATTTACTTCCTTTGTAGCTTGAAACATGACTGCTTGTGCATTCTTTTCTATAGCTTCCTCAAGATAAAACTTGATATCTGCAAAATGAGATTTAGCTATGGTGAAAGGATTGGTATCTATAGTGATTGTTCCAACTCAACCATTTTTGCAATATTTGGAACATTGGTGAAGTGTAGATTGAAGAACACCATTAGCATATATCCATGGTCATCCTAAGAGCATATTGTAATTAAGTTGTTTTAACATCAATAACATGAAGTAAAACATTTGATTCCATGTTGTCAATAAGTAAATTGAATCTAATTTTTTCAATAGCTCTTTGTCCTCTTAAGTTAAAGCCTTTAATCATTTATGGGCTTTAGAGAAGTTCTTCTTTTAAAAATGTCAAATCAATCATTGTTTTGATGGGAAGTATATTCACTATTGATTCATCATTTATGAGGATTCAATTGATTTTTTGTTTTTAAAAATAACCAACTACAAAAAGAGGACGAGTATGAGGATTTGACTATCTCGTATTCTTGGTTTTATTCAAAAACTTGACAATCTAAATGATAACTTTCAAAGTTTTAGATGTTATTAAAATTTTATTTCTATAAATAATTTATATATCTTGGTTGTTATGAAATATAAATCCTCTATTAGCATTTTGATTAGTAATATTTTCATATATTTAGACTTCTTGAGTTCATTTTGACAACTAATGCACATTTAAGGAGATTGATTTTTACTTGCATTTCTATTTCACCATTTTCAAGATGCATCGGAATGGCTACAACGGCCAAAAAGTTCACCTCCTGAGAAAATTTTTTTTCTTGACTTAAGTATAGTTGTTCAAAAGCATTCTTTTTTTTTTTTTTAGACGTTAATGTACTTATATCCAAAATAAAGCTTCAAGTTAGGTGGGTTTTGGGCTACCTGAGATGGAGACTCAGGGTCAGGGGAGCAGACGACTTGGTACGAGCAAGCTACCAGTAGTTGGATTTAATTTTGATTCTGATGCTGATTTTGAGCTGTTCCTGGTTTTTCAGTGTTGGTAAGGCTTTTGTCCTTTTTTATTTTTTGGGTTTATACTTTAAAAAATATACAGCTTTAATTTGTTAAAAAGAGTTAATCTACTGTTAAAGGAGGAGCGAGAAGATGTATTGAAAAATAGGAAGAAGGGGGTAGCTTGATAATTTTGAAACTTAAATTAGGCACATTACAAAAACAAAAAGAAAAGTTGCCATGTCATCTCTAAGTCAGCTAAGAGGGGGATTTTTTTGTCCAAATCAGCGCCACATCATTGTTTGTTAACGGTGCAATAGAGAGTCAAACGGAAAAAAGATGATTTCGGACGTCATCCTTAGTAGAAGGGTTGATTTGCGGGGTTTGATTACTAGAGGGGTCAATTTACAGTACTTCTTAGTATAGGAACTGATCTGCCACAATACTTATAGTAGAGAGGCTGAGTTGCACCTTCTGCCCAATTGAAATTGGAAGAGTTGAGTTGGGAAAATTTTGTAATTTCTGAAACATTAGGGACTCCTTTATGAACCTCGCTCCCTTGGATCTGTGCAGGAGGAAACAAACCATGAAGGGAGAGAATTTCACCTAAAAATCTCCTTCTTGGAAAATCATCCCACGATCAATATAGTAGCTCCAGTTTTTTCATCTGCTTTATCAGTTTCATTCAAAAGTATCAAACTTTTAGATGTCTACAGCAGATTTTGGTGAAGTTTCTCGGGTAAGTTGACTCATCTCTCCCTCTCAGATTCTTGTATCAGATATTCAGATTCTTTTGGTTTTTGCATCTGAAACAGATATACATAGAGAGATATAATGCATAAACGTATAGGTTATTGATGGAACTACTGTAGTGGGTTGTGCACTGTTTTGATCTTGTCTTGAGTTGGGCAATCAACAGATCTGCAGTTGTTGAGAGGGTTTTCAAGCTTGTCCTTTTGTTTGTTTGTTGATTCAATTGAGAAAAGAAAATACAAAAGGTAAATTGAACATAGGTGATTATATACTATTCATCAGAAAGAAAATAAATGGTAACACTTTACTGATTTTGATGGAAGTGGATCTGGGATCTAAAAATTGTCTACAAAAGTTTCAACCTTTTGGTAAAATATAGGATTAAGAAAGATATTGAACTCATGGTCTTTGAATTGGGAATGATATATAATTGTCTGGCATTGTTAGAATAAGGCAGTAAAGTTGCTAACTTGAAAGCCAGTTGCATGTTGGGGACTCATGGTAAGTGTTCGCTTCATTCTGATAATGTGAATTTTCTCTTATGTGCAGCCTCCAGGTGAAAATTATGCTAATCCAAAGACGTGTTTCTTTCATGTTCTATTCAAGGTCAAGCTTTTCTCTGCTAGTCTTGTTAAGTAGTTTGCTTATATACCCACTTCACTTAGAGTTTTTGGTTTATTGTTTCTTGCAGGCTGCAGCTTTGGTATTTTACATACTTTCTGCACTCTTTTTTGATAACTTTGTCATAATTTTCGTGGTGACTGTTCTTCTGGCTGCCCTTGATTTTTGGGTGGTTAAGAATGTAAGTGGCCGTATATTAGTTGGTTTGAGGTGGTGGAATGAAATTAACGATCTTGGTGAGAGTGTATGGAGATTTGAATGCCTTGACCAAGAGGTTAGCATTTTCCATGATCAAATTATGCCTACTTGTATATTTATGTTGAATTGTTTAAATGTTTGAGGTTTTTTTCTAATGTTAGCATTTTCCTGATAGTGTGTGTATCATTTTTCTTCATCTTCTTTTAATTTTTTCTTGTCTTTCCTGCACTAGTCCTTGGCCCGGATGAATAAGAAAGATTCCTGGCTGTTCTGGTGGACCCTTTACCTTACAGTAAGTTACCTTTTACCAGTTTACATGGACATGGTCTAACTTATGCTTAGTATGTGCTCCTACTGGCCTAAATTCTTCACTCATCCTTTATTTTTCCAGGCAGTCGTTTGGATTGTGCTTGGAATATTCTCTCTGATAAGGTTCCAAGCTGATTATCTCCTTGTAATTGGAGTTTGTTTGACTCTCAGCATTGCAAATATTGTTGGTTTCACCAAATGTCGCAAAGGTTTGTTTGATTTTTATGATAAAGAATCTGTACTTTAGTATCTTGTTTTAGCCTTTTTTCTAGCTATTTTATTAATGAAAAATAATCGGTAATAGATTTGGAATTCTTATTTTATAAATAAAATATATTTTCCTACTATCTGAATAGTAAATGGGATGGGTTGAAGTTGGAGTAAGATATTGTGCAGTAAAAATAAGAAAGTTGCAGCAAGCTCTTGTTCTTAATCTCTAAGGGTTGAGCACATGTCTTAGACAATAAATTGAATGAAGCATGTATTTTTAGCCATACTGGGAGGATAAGCATGACTGAGGGATTTGGGAACACAATGTAATTTGCAATGTTGTTTTCCTTTCTGCCAAGTCTTCTGCAGCTTCTTTTTTTCCTTGAAATATACATTAACGGTTAATAGACGTGTTTCTCTACAGATGCAAAGAAGCAGATTCAAGCATTTGCTACCCAGACCATTGCCTCTCGATTTACATCTACCATACAGTCAGCAATCAGTGTCGTCTGAGATGCCCAACGAGAGAAAGATGGAATGGGATGGAAGAATGTCCTTGTAGTAAAGATGTTGTGAAATGGAGGCATGCAGAAATTGGCTAGTATGGCCTTGTGGGGATTTTTTTTTTTCCTGAGTTAGGAATACGAATTAGATGTTTTGTATTAATATTTGATACCCTTAATAATCTGTATATTGAACTATGAGAAACGCTTTATGAGAAACGTTTGGTACACAGAAACATCCATAATTTTTTAACGTTTCAGGTGGTCTGTAAGAATTTGCATGAAATATGTTTCTTTTTGGCAAAAAAAAAAAAAGAAGAAGAAGAAGAAGAAGAAAGAAATGTAGAGATTGCAGTTATTGAAGCAAGCATGTTTTCTCTGAGCTTTCTCCCTAGAAGCCCAAATGAGGAAGAAAGTAGATACCTAGCTAATAGGAACACAACCTCCCACCCCACATTTATTTTTTCTGGTGGCTACAAGGGAGCAATAAACAAAATAAAGGGGAGGCCTCACATGATGCATACACCATCAGCCCCTTCAGGAAGACAATTCAGGATCTTAGCTCCTCTATAGGCAAAGGTAGGCTCCATTGCCATTTTGTGGCCAAAATTCCTGTTTCACATCTACAAGCTTGCCGGACTCAAAGGAGAGAAGCCAGTCACTCAATAACTTATTATCCCTACTGGGTTGAAGAGGAGATGGTTCCTACTTGCTCCTTTCTGTACAACCTCCCATAATGTGAGTTGCCAAGTTGGCTTTGACAAACTGAAACGGAAGCTTCTTCTGTAAGTAAATGAGTTGATTTGCAGATTTCCTGTTGCTGTAATGGTTATCTAGAGGAAGCTCGATATGAATATGTAGCAGAATTTGAACCCAAAGTTCATAGCTGATTCGTTCCGTACTTGGCAAATTATGCAGAATTAGACCCTTTTTTTTTTTCTGCTTATAATTGTTTTCACTCATTCTGACTAAAAGAATGGTAGATGAACTCCACCATGCGACTTGATGGGTCGTGCGCCTCAATGAGAGGAGTGGGAGATCACTTGTTCTGAGAATCGAATCTTCAATTGCTAATAATTCTTAAATTAACTACTAACCATTACCTTATAAAAAAAAAAAGAATGGTAGATAAAAATGTCAATTTTATAATTTTTTTATTTAAAGATGTAATTTTACTAGTTATTAATGACCAAACTCCAAATCTACTCCCTCAATGAGTGGGCAGGAACAAATCTTTTTAAAAAAAATGATAAATTACTTTTTTAAATTATTGATTAAAATAAATAATTTATTATTTAACGTTTGATGTTATCATAGATTAGTTTCCATTAAAATAAGTTTAAGTAACAAACAGATTATTGATATGAGATGATATCATATATTAAATAATAAATGATTTATTTTAATCAATAATTTAAAAAGATGATTTGTCCCTACTTTATTATAGAGGCCAATTTGTTTTTAACCCTCTATTTAGGGTGGATTTGAGGATTCAATTGATTTCTAATTAATACAGTAAATTTTTAATTTTTTTTATTTAAAGTTGATAACTTTATTTTTTTATTTAAAAATGATAATTTTATATTTTTTATTTAAAGAAAAGAATTTTGTATTTATTATGTCTAAAGTCATTATTCAATTAATTTTTAAATACAAAAAGGTAAAATTAATATTTTT